AAATAGGACATGTGCGCAGGTTGACTACATGTCAAAATTCCAAGTTGAAAAATGGATATGCGCACCTGCCAAATGTGGCCTTTGAGCCCCCAAACAATCCGACAAGCCTATGCATGGGTGGTATCACTGTACTCAGGAGATGTTGCTGAACACATATTGGCATGTTGTTTGGCAGTGACACATAACACGATTTGTTAATTCATGCCTAAAGTACAATGTGTGTGAAAAAACACACACAAAAATGACTACCTAAATGTTTGACAAAGTCTGGTGGTAGAATTAGTGCATGGAAAGTGTTAAAAAAAACACCATTTGAAATACCCTAGGGTGTCTACTTTCCAAAAATATATGGTTTGGTGGGGGTAAAATACATTGGCCGGCCTTACAAATGTCCCAAATGGGACATGTGCGCAGGTTGACTACATGTCAAAATTCCAAGTTGAAAAATGGATATGCACACCTGCCAAATGTGGCCTTTTAGCCCCCAAACAATCCGACAAGCCTATGCATGGGTGGTATCACTGTACTCAGGAGATGTTGCTGAACACATATTGGCGTGTTGTTTGGCAGTGACACATAACACGATTTGTTAATTCATGCCTAAAGTACAATGTGTGTGAAAAAAAACACACAAAAAATGACTACCTAAATGTTTGACAAAGTCTGGTGGTAGAATTAGTGCATGGAAAGTGTTAAAAAACCACCATTTGAAATACCCTAGGGTGTCTACTTTCCAAAAATATATGGTTTGGTGGGGGTAAAATACATTGGTGGCCTTACAAATGTCCCAAATAGGACATGTGCGCAGGTTGACTACATGCCAAAATTCCAAGTTGAAAAATGGATATGCGCACCTGCCAAATGTGGCCTTTTAGCCCCCAAACAATCCGACAAGCCTATGCATGGGTGGTATCACTGTACTCAGGAGATGTTGCTGAACACATATTGGTGTGTTGTTTGGCAGTGACACATAACACGATTTGTTAATTCATGCCTAAAGTACAATGTGTGTGAAAAAAAACACACAAAAAATGACTACCTAAATGTTTGACAATGTCTGGTGGTAGAATTAGTGCATGGAAAGTGTTAAAAAACCACCATTTGAAATACCCTAGGGTGTCTACTTTCCAAAAATATATGGTTTGGTGGGGGTAAAATACATTGGCCGGCCTTACAAATGTCCCAAATAGGACATGTGCGCAGGTTGACTACATGTCAAAATTCCAAGTTGAAAAATGGATATGCGCACCTGCCAAATGTGGCCTTTTAGCCCCCAAACAATCCGACAAGCCTATGCATGGGTGGTATCACTGTACTCAGGAGATGTTGCTGAACACATATTGGCGTGTTGTTTGGCAGTGACACATAACACGATTTGTTAATTCATGCCTAAATTACAATGTGTGTGAAAAAAACACACAAAAAATGACTACCTAAATGTTTGACAATGTCTGGTGGTAGAATTAGTGCATGGAAAGTGTTAAAAAACCACCATTTGAAATACCCTAGGGTGTCTACTTTCCAAAAATATATGGTTTGGTGGGGGTAAAATACATTGGCCGGCCTTACAAATGTCCCAAATAGGACATGTGCGCAGGTTGACTACATGTCAAAATTCCAAGTTGAAAAATGGATATGCGCACCTGCCAAATGTGGCCTTTTAGCCCCCAAACAATCCGACAAGCCTATGCATGGGTGGTATCACTGTACTCAGGAGATGTTGCTGAACACATATTGGTGTGTTGTTTGGCAGTGACACATAACACGATTTGTTAATTCATGCCTAAAGTACAATGTGTGTGAAAAAAAACACACAAAAAATGACTACCTAAATGTTTGACAATGTCTGGTGGTAGAATTAGTGCATGGAAAGTGTTAAAAAACCACCATTTGAAATACCCTAGGGTGTCTACTTTCCAAAAATATATGGTTTGGTGGGGGTAAAATACATTGGCCGGCCTTACAAATGTCCCAAATAGGACATGTGCGCAGGTTGACTACATGTCAAAATTCCAAGTTGAAAAATGGATATGCGCACCTGCCAAATGTGGCCTTTTAGCCCCCAAACAATCCGACAAGCCTATGCATGGGTGGTATCACTGTACTCAGGAGATGTTGCTGAACACATATTGGCGTGTTGTTTGGCAGCAAGACATAACAGGATCTGTAAGTTTATACCTGAATTGCAATGTATGTGAAAAAAAACAAAAAAAACAACTATCTATGCAAAGTTTGGCAAAGACTTGTGGTAAAATGGCTGCATAGAAAGTGTCAAAATATCCTTAGATGAATACCCTGGGTTGTCTACTTTAAAAAAAATATATACATGTGGAGTGTTTTCCAGAGATTTATGACAGATAATAGTGTTACAATGTCACTATTGATACATTTAAAAAATTTTGTTTTGAAACCGCCATATCCTACTTGTACCTATAGCCCTATAACTTGCAAAAAAAAGCAAAAAAGCATGTAAACACTGGGTATTTTTAAACTCAGGACAAAATTTTGAATCTATTTAGCTGTTTTTTTCATTCGCTTTTGTAGATGAGTAAAAGATTTTTCAAGTAAAAGTCAAAAAACATGTATTTTTTTCAATTTTTCATCATATTTTTTATTTTTTTTAAATTAAAATACATGAGATTATATAAATAATGGTATGTAAAGAAAGCCCCTTTTGTCCTGAAAAAAACAATATATAATTTGTATGGGAACAGTAAATGAGAGAGCGGAAAATAACAGCTAAACACAAACACCAGAAAAGTGTAAAAATATTCCTGGTTGCAAATGTACAACATCGCAAAAACAGTCCAGTCCTTAAGGGGTTAAGGGTTCAAACAGAGGTTCTCAAAGTGAATACAAATACAAAAAAACAAGTCCCGCGCTCACTCCCATCACTCCTGGGCGGCACCAACGACCACATCATCCCCAAAACATAAAAACCAAAAAAAAGTTACCTGCGCTCACCCCTAAATCCTTATGTATATTTAAACAAATGGAGGTTATTTAGTTACTCAAATGGCCATTGGAGGGAATGCCTGTCAAGACAAACCTACTCAGGTGGGTCCTACACTGACCTTTCACCTTGCTTCCTTGAGCTTCTGGCAAAGAGATCTCTAATGAGACAGTGATGGGTATTTTTTTATATACACCCCTATATAATTATTAACCCTTAATAGGGAACACATGGGATGGGTGGCAGCATTGTAACATAGCTGTGTGATACAAAAAGTGAATACAAATACAAAAAAAAAAACTGTCCTGCGCTCACTCCCATGTGTTCCCTATTAAGGGTTAATAAGTATATAGGGGTGTATATAAAAAATCAGTGCTAATATTTAAGTTCTGATTTGTGGCATGCGTTTCACCGCTGCACACAGGCTCAAGGCTTGATGTCTGATAAGCGCATCTCTCGGGACCACCTCTTCCTTCTACACTCAGCTCTATAGGTTTCTTCTGGCTTCGCTCGATAACCTTAATGGTTCAAGTGTGGTTAGGGTCCACCCTGGGAGCCATAAAGCCAAATACCCTAAACAGCAGCTCATGTACCTCACTAGAATTCCATGCAGAGCTGCTCGTCCGTCCTGCGATGGGACAAAAGAACTGAAAGGGAATTGCCTGGCGAGTTCCTTTATACAGTAAGTGGAAGGGGGCTTTTTGCTTTAATTTCTCTCTTGCAGACAGCTGGTCCCATGGGGGAAGTACATCCCTACTGTGTACTGCCATCACATGCAAGGAAAATCTCAATAAAGTTGTCTGGGTGCAGTGGCTCTCCTCCTTTTAAAAACGGCAATATAAAACAGTGCAGTTTTTTTAACCCCAGTTGTTTTTGGATCCTAGCCACACCCCTTGTTGCTGCGTTATTTGCATAGTGCAAGCTCAATTAGAGCCTAACTATAAGGCCATTACTTTACTAGATCATGAGACTGTTGTTGGTAGGCTGTAGTAGTGTATGAACATTTAATACCACTGGACAGACTGGGTGCAGCAAGAACTGTACAAAAATATTACGTATTATAAGATGTTTTGTAAATTTGATAACCTTAGTAGAAAGAGAGTCTACAACTGTGTTGTGCTATTGTTTATTTAAAGGGACACAATAGGCATAAAAAACTTAGCTTAATAGAATGGTTTTAGTATGTAGATCATGCACCTGCAGTGTCACTGCTCAATTCTCTGCCATTTAGGAGGTAAATCACTTTGTTTATACAGCCCTACCCACACCTCCTTGCATGTAACTTACACAGCCTCCCTATATACTTCATGTAGAAGAGAGATCCAATGTTTACACACTCTGTATTGTACATCCTGTTTAATATAGAATTTCATATCTCTTGCTCTGTTAATAACCTTCTAGAACCTGCAGTAGCCTCCATGATAAAAGATCAATTAACAGAGCATTAGAAAATAAGTTAACAACTGGGTGAATCAAATGGAGAGGAGGCATGGCTAGGGTTGCATAAACCGAAACAAGTAATTTAACTCCTAAATATCAGAAAATTGAGCTGTGAGATTGCAGGAGCATGATCTGTACACTCACACTGCTTCATTAAGCTAAAGATGTTTTGATGCCTATTGTACCCCTTTAACACTTACTGGAACATGGTTTATCAATGTTTGTTCACCTTTGAGTATACCAGTAACGTATTTTAATTGGCATAATGTTTTGAGTGCGTTGTTGCTCTAGATATTGTGTATGATTTAGGGCGTTTTTGGAGAGCTGACCCTGAAAATAGTAACCTTTATGAGAGGCGTCCCAGTTGTTTTATTTCATTGCAATGAAACTACTGAAGTAAACCGCACATTTTGTCAGTTTGTTTTTACACAGTGTTAATACACCTCTTATGTAATTTGCCATATTTTATCATAAGGATTTAAACATATCCAGGATTCACATATTTAATTTTTTTCCAATAAGGTGTTTCTGTGAGCATGCTGATTAAAGCTTGATGCTTTAAAATGGTGCCTGGCTCCTATGATTTATGGAAAAATAGCCCATAAATGCATGAAAATAAATGTTTAATATTTAACAATACATCTTTCCATTTTCTGTTTTAATGAATAAAAAGTAGGTCTACAATAATAAGAAAATTATGACGTACACTCAAATTTTCACTGCAGCATTTTTGCATATCAAAACTGTAAAAAAAAAAAAAAAAAAATTGCAAAACAATAAAACAAACTAGTTTCTATCTCCCTGTCCTACAAAACATTACACAATGTTCACTTTCAAAAGACAACAAATGGTGTTGATGACACTGCTGTCATTTTCGTTGCTGCTTAAACTTCGGGGCCTTCACCTCCCGGTACCAACTAAGGAGAGAAAAAGATTGAATACATTAATGGACTGCTGAAAAAGCCTGAAATCCGTATTATAAGTAAAGGAAATTATGCAAATAGAAGGGAAAAAATATAATTCACTCAAAATTTACTAGCGGAGTTATTCACTAAAATCCAAATTTCTTAAATTTTAATCTGAACAGAAAAACCGAGCCAACATATATTGTGAATATAGCGGACTTGGTGAATTTTTCCAGGCCAGCTATTATACTTTAAATACAACTCAGTAAGTACTGAATAGTAGGAAACAGAAATTTAACTTTCCTAAAAAGTCTGACATTAATCAGCATATGATGTCCAGACACTAAGCAACAGAAGCATTACATTTTGGTGTAGTGCTTATGTTGTATAAATTGTTCTTCATAATGCCACCACAGGACTTAAGTCAAAATCTGCTAGGCACACTACTTTCATGGAAAACAATTGCAACTTACCATAGTTATATTGTTTCCATTTAATAAGATCTGATCTAGTTTTGTAATCCGTCTTCCCTCTGGTGTGATTTCACTAAAATGTAAAGAACAGGATACCCATTTTAAAAAAACATCTTCATACAAAAAACAATGAACGTGTTGAACAATACTTCGAGACCAACGAGGTTTGCAGGTTCTGCAGAAAAAGGCACAGTTTTCAATCTTGAATGAGAAATAAAGGAGTATTCTTATGAACACCTACACACCTTATTAACCTTTTGATAGAGCGCATCTGTATAAAACAGCCAGTGCTGTTTCTCACCCCATGTGTTACTTATTAAGAGCTAATATATACGTAGAGGTTTATAAGAATACCCCTAACCAAAGAGGTAAATTGTTTCTCTGATGTTTTATGCTACAATTGGTGACTCAAAGACTAAAGTAGAAACTCTAGTTGCAGCAGCAGAGTCAACTAGTCTCACAAAGAAAACCACCAGTTCCAAAATAACTTCTGTTGCTGCTTACACAAACAGGCTTATTGCCAAATGAAATGCTCGATGCCCATGTTGTTACATTACCCAAGCCAGGAAAGCAACCAACCGTGTGCGCCAACTTAAGACCTATCGCTTTATGCTAAGCTACTGGCGTCTAGGTTAAAACAAATTCTTCCCTAATTAGTTTTTCTGTAGAACAGGCCAGATTCGTACCTGGCAGACAGGTGTGCGACAACACCAAACATAATTGACTGGGCTCTTTCTAGCAAACAAACAGGTGTGGTGGTATTAGCCTTGGACACTGAAAAGGCGTTGGATCGCCTGAATTGGGGTTACATGCAATCCACATTTACAAAAATGGGGTTCTCCCAATCATTCTTCAACAGCATAATGGCGTTATATATCTCCCCCACAGCAAGGATTTTTTACTCTGGGTTCCTATCTAAACCCTTCGCAATTACCAATGGTACGCGCCAAGGTTGTCCACAGTCCCCGCTGATTTTTATCATGTCTTGAGCCCCTAGTACGTCACATCAAAGCCCATAAAGCAATCACAGGTCTTACAACAATAGGTGAGCAGGGAATCACGCTATTTGCAGATGACATCCTACTGTTTCTAACCCACCCGGTACAATCCATACCACATCTCCTAACACTATTAGAAAGATACGGACGAGTCTCCTTCTACAAAAATAACGCAACCAAAACTCAAACACTCTCGATAGGTGTACCACACACTACCTTGCACAACCTAAAAAATACCTACCCATTTGATTGACGGAAGTCCTCCTTAAACTACCTAGGCATTAACCTAACAAAATCCCACCACCACTCCTGTACAAACTTAAAACACAACTGGATGATTGTAAATATAAGGAGATATCCTGGTTTGAACGTATTAATACTATTAAAATGATGTCCCTTCCCCATGTACTGTATCTTTTCCGTACACTTCCTATATTGATGCCTAACAAAATACAACACAAGTTACAAGCCACATTTAATGCCAACATCTGTGGGAAAAACACCCAAGTCGCCTATCCTGGCCCCCTGCAAGCAAGGGAGGCTTTGGCATACCACTTACAAACATGTACTACAAAGCCTCACTTCTGTCATACGATGTATCGGTGCCAACTCAGCCCAATTTGCCAGTGTGACTGCCTATGGAAGAGGCATGCATCCAACCTCTTAAACTTTAAACACGTGGTGTGGACAGCCTCCACACCATGTGGTTCCATCGGGTCCGCACTACTAATATACAAAACCTTCAAGCCGTTCCAAGTCGCATAAAGTGACAGGAATATCTATGTTTAGCCCTGTTATGTCATGTGAGATTATTGTGATGTCATGCCAATGCAACAGTATATACTACATGTTGATATTCCTGGCAGTACAGCTGCATGTATAGTGGTTACAAAGTTCATGTGTTGTCGATATATGCGTTGTATTGTAATGTATAATATGAAAAATTGTCAATAAAAAGACATGGGGAAAAAAATTTAGATTTAAGTTGAGCTTCGTTCCTATTGTACCTTTATACGAAGCTGCACTGTGAAGCTGCGTTTTGAAACTGTGCATTAAAGATCTCTATTGTTACCTCTACACATTTCTGTTTACATTTGTGTTCTGATACACTTAAGTGGTGGATAGTGTTATCACCCTATTACAGTTCCCCTCTTTAAATATTTATGTTAGCAGTTTGTGTGTTGTTCATTTGAGGAGAACAAGTTAGAGGGCTTTATTTTTTTGTTTTGCAGAAGCACTTTTAATAGGTGCAAATTTATAGTTAATTTTCTTATTCACAGATTTGAACATTGAACTAAACACAGGGACTAAAAACAAATCTTATAAAGGCACTTAATGTGTTCTTGAAGTAAAATTAAAAAGTCTGTAGGTACACACTAAAAACATCATCTATACACCAAAGTGGAGGTGCAGCGGACCTAAAGAAATAGGCAGAGGGACAATATAGACTTAGAAATACAGTTTTGTATTCCCAATGCTATAGTGTTCCTTTAAAGGGAGCCTGAAATTACATACAATAATTTGTACATTAACTTTTTTATTGTGCATTAATTATTTTTAATGAGTAATCCCAACTTTAAATCATGCATTATAAATCATATAGTATGTTGAATAGAATTTTTTTTTTTTTTTTTTTTTTTTTTTAAGTTTAACTATAAATATGATGCAAGGTTATGGACTTTTTAGATCATTGTTATTTGAACAAATACTGTTAACAGGCAACCTTAGATGAGCAGCTATGCATAATACAAAACAGTATTTATCACATATGCATGACATTTTTCTCATGATGCCAACAGCAGTGCAAATTCTAAATAAAGTACTGTCAAGAGACAATTTCATTATTTCATACACACACACGCATGCTCTTTTTCCCACAGAAATCTCACTTTTACAGTGCTCTCAAAATATATATATATATATATATATATATATAAAAACAGAAGTACTTAAATCTGGATTTTACTTACAATTCGGTGACATCTTCTAGCACCATATCTGAAGAGTCAAGTCAAGGCCAACAAGTAAAACAAAACACAGATCAGGACAGTTGTTGTCTCACTATGTCCTGATCTAACTGAAATCGTAAAAAATAAATACATTAAATCTTCCTTTAATGTTTGTTAGAGAATATGCCAGTCTCTAAAATAGATGTGATAAAGAGAGATACTTTTTAAGACCTATTCTCATATTGGATTTTTATGTTTTGGATTTAAAATAAATTAACACAAAGCACTGTTATCACTGCAGCTGTCTGCAGTGGTTATGATGAAAGATGTGCTATGACTTCTCACCAGGGGTCACTGCTATGTGTCGCACCCTGCCTCTATGACCTTCACCTGAGATCCAGAAGCAGAGCGGAGCTAAAAAGGCAAATCAAAAAAAGACTATACCCCTAACAATGGGGGGGGGGGGAGGAAACGCCAGGGCACTCCTGACACCATAACCACTACAGTGAGCAGCAGTGGCTATGGTGCTCTGAGCATTCCTTAAGTTTTTGAAGATATTGTATAATCTCCAGAGGATAGCAATTTTTTAGAACCAAGTACAGTATTGATAACATAAGCACTATCATTTCTAACATATATGCCAGAATTCATTCACAATTAACTTTGCATCATGTCCCTCGGCGGTGGTTTCTGCTCGCTGCCGCTCCTCCTCCTCTTCCTTACGTCAGCCGGTGGACGAGACTGATCCCGCCTGCCGGCTGAGGAGACCGAATGCGCATTAGAGCTCTCCATAGGAAAGCATTGAAAATGCTTTCAATGCTTTCCTATGGGGAATTGAGCGACGCTGAAGGTCCTCGTCCAGCGACGCTCTAGCACAGAAAACCTGTGCTATGAATCAGGAAGTGCCTGCTAGTGGCTGTCTAGCAGACAGCCACTAGAGCAGGAGTTAACACTGCAAGGTAATTATTGCAGTTTATAAAAAAACTGCAATAATTACACTTGCAGGGTTAAGTGTAGTGAGAGTTGGCACCCAGACCACTCCAATGGGCAGAAGTGGTCTGGGTGCCTACAGTGTCCCTTTAACCCTGCGGCTACCAGAGGTGTAGCTCTGGCAGAGTCACTTGCGTGTCAACCAACCCACTAATGTCATTTCTGCGAAAATGCCATTGCACAGAATGTTGTTATTTGTTGGCTGAGAGCGGTCAGCTGACACTCTCAGCCAATAGATAATGACTGCATTGGCTTCTACACCTCTGCAGAAATCTGAACCGCTTCACCAAACCACCATGGAGCTTCACCATTGCTAAACGGTTTGCCCTATTACCGGGAAAACTAGGCCACGGTACTCTTATCTTAATCACTACAGCAGGCTGTAGTAGCTATAATGTTTGGAGTAACCCTTTAAAATTATTGCAGATACATTTATCTAATAGACTTTTTTTTTTTTTTTTTAAAGACCTCTTTTCGATGTTCCTTGCCTGATGCTGACCGATCTCAGCTGTCAATCAGGTTACATACAAGTCCCAACTGATTAACTTCTACCATGATGGTTGCAGAAAGACGGCCCTGGAGCTGGAAGTTCTCTTCTTTAAACTAAGCCCAGCAGTGCAGAACTAATCTTATCGGATGAGAGTGATTAGTTAATGCTCACAGCCAATGAGCCAGCCCTACACTACAGGGCTTAGCACAGTAAAGTCAGTGGAAGCTCCTAGCAGGAGTTTTTGGCTCTCAATGCTGCAAGAGGAAATGCTTTGAGAGGAGACCCAAGGTAAGAAGTCCCCCCCAGGTAAGTTGCTAGCAAACTGACAACATTGGTGAGGTGCCAGGGCACTCCTGGCACATTTACCTCTACCGAATATGGTAGTGGTTATGGCAGGGGCGTATTAGCCGCGAGGCAAACAAGGCATTTGCCTTGGGCGGCATTTTTCAGGGGGCGGCAAAAAACGCCGCCACCAAATGCCCAGGGCAAATGCCTTGTTAGCCTCGCGGCTAACAGACATACCGAGCGGGCGGGCGGCTGGGGAGGGAGCTCATCCTCTGAGCGGTCTGCTCAGCTCCCTCGCGTGCCGCAGAGTGAGGCTGGGAGCCGGAATATGACGTCATTGGAGTGTGTGTGTGTGACTGTGTGTGTGACTGTGTGTGTGTTTGTATCTGACTGTGTGTGTGTATTTAGAAGGTGGGGCGGGGGGAGGAGGGGCGCCTGAGTTTTGTCCTGCCTAGGGCAGCACAAAACCAGGATACACCACTGGGTTATGGTGCTTGGAGTGTTCATATAAAAAGTAATATTTTAGCATGAATTGCAAACACACACACACACATATATATATCACATATATTATGACACCACATTTAACAGAGGTGACAGGTTTCAGAAAGTGAAAAGCAGATACAGGCATCTTTAAAAATATATGAATAAAGTGCTAAAAAAAAATATGACTATAAAAAATGAAAATAGACAGAGCGACCAGCCTTAAAAGGATACTAACAAAGTCATCAAATCCAAGAAGAGTGCCAACAATTTCTTTATCGCTCTTCATTACAATATGAATACGGGATCCTATACACTTATCCACCAGCTCTGTTGAAACAAATGTTTATAGGTATTAGGTAGTGAAATACTGTCTATAGAAAACATTACTGTATACTCCAACATTAGCAAATAAATAAGGACAAAACTGAAGTGCACTGAACATTGCAAACTGTAAAACAACATAAAAGTACTAATTTCCACTTACAAGAGATTTATTATATATGAACATTGCTTGAGTTGGAGGTATGTCCCCACAGGCCAGGCTGAGAGGAAGACTTGAACGGCACAAAATGTAGGGGTGGGAATACTGTGCTGCCATTGGATGGCTGTCGTCAGGAAACTATGCTATTCTTCTTTTAGACTGGCTAAGTAATACTACTTCTGGAGGTGGAGCTACATTTCCAGTAGCAAAGTTCTTTTGAAAATGTTATATCAAGCACCATGACCACTTCAGTGATTTAAAATGGTCATGGTGCCTGACGGCCATATGTGTAGCGTTTTGCTATTAAACAATGCCGATATAGAGATAAATCCCTCTGCTATCACAGGTGTACCTATCTACAGCCAAGTCACTGGAGCGCCATTAGCCATAAAAAATAAAATAAATAAAGTCTGTCCATCAAAACCTCCATCTCCAGTGAAAGGAAGTGATAAGGTGCCCCAGGGTCCTTTCTTTCATAAGGGGTATATTAGTTCTAAAAAGGTTTACCTCAAAGGTTGCCTCAAATGCCTAATTTTAGTTTCCCCAGCAGCATCCGGCTTCTGAAACTGACTGAGGTCAGCTGACGCCCAAAGTCAACCAGTACCTCCCCATTCATAAAAATGGTCCCGATAAGTCAATTTCCCAAGCCGGATGCCGCTTGGGAACTGTATGCAATGTTAACTCCTCCACGTAAGTGCCAGGGGACTCCTAGCACAAAAAAAAAAAAATCATTTCTGTGAAGTTGTTCTGGTGACAGGAGTGTTCCTTTAAGCTCTTTTTGTTCTTTTCATGCCATCTGCCTTTGAATTTAATTAAAATGCCAAAGCAATAGATAAACATACGACAAAGCAGAGACTATTTTGTCTATGGACTAAGCCAGGAAGCTTCAACCTTTAAGAGACTCAAGTACCAGAAAAACCATCTGTTTTGCTGGCACTGTAGAATCCTGCAGTGCCCCCCTCCTTCCCATCCCCCATCCCATGTTGCTGAAGGAGTTAAAATTCCTTCAGTGACTTACCTGAATCCAGCGCCACTGTCCCTCTGCGCTGGGTCAGGCTCTGCCCACGCTCCTCCCCTGACGTCAGCAATGGCCACAAGCGCATTAGACCGGCCCATAGGAAAGCATTTTTCAATGCTTTCCTATGGAAATTCCAGCGACGCTGGAGGTCCTCATGCATAGCGTGAGGACGTCCAGCATCGTTTAAAACACTTTTCGTGTTTTAAGAACCCGGAAGTCCCTCTAGTGGCTGTCTATCAGAGGACTTGGCCCTGTAAGGTAATTATTGCAGTTTATAAAAACTTCAGTAATTACACTTGCAGGGTTAAGGGTGATGAGAGTTGGCACCCAGACCACTCCAATGGGCAGAAGTGGTCTAAGTGCCTGGAATGTCCCTTTAATTTCTGTCAATTTCCATAAGTCAGCCCAACAAGAGTTATGGGAAATGACATTGTCTCATGCACTACATGAGGAATTCTATAGAGTATCTCGAGGTTTATTCAACGGACCGCTGAGTTGTACACTCAAACATGCAAGAGTGTACAACAGTGATGAAGCCTCCTGGCAAATGAAGTGTCAGGAGCTGAAAAGGGACTATATGGCAACTGCACACCAAACAAGAATATATTTAACTTCTGCTCTTTTTGAAGAGCTTGAAATTTTATCTATACAAATGCAATACACAAAGAGAAAGTGAAACAAAAAAGATATGGTGTAAAAAATTGTATTTTTTTTAAAGCTGTGGAAATTCACATTGGCATTATACATAAGCAATATCACACAGGAGGTTACTTCTGATACATTTTACCTACTGCATAGAAAATACTGCAACAAAATGAATTAAATGACTACTAAAATTAAAGACGTATTGGAAATAGTAATTGCATCCATGCTATGGTTTTATTTAATTTATTTTTTAGTTTCCACTGCTAAGATTTAATTAAAAATAAATTAAGGCCAATGTTTCCAAAAATCTAAAAGGGATGTGGGGTTGGGGATCTGTTGCAAGAGTTACCGACAGAAGCACTGATCTACGAAAACAAGGATTGCCATATTGTGATCACAACTTAAACCACGAGGGATTTAATACAATAAGTCACATATCCATGAATTTCCTGAGACAAATCAGTAAACCACTATTAATGCATAAAGGTATAAGCCATGTGAGTGCCAGAGGTCTGGGCAATACATAGCACTCACAGTGCTGGATACCATGCTTGTCATGGAGCCCGATATAAACACATTGAAATAACCACGGCAGGGAGCAGGTTAAGCATTACACAGACACTACTGAGGGGGTTTATAGCCCAGAGGTCATTACCGAGCGGCAGAAGCTGGGACGGGTTGGTATTCACGTTAGCTGCCATCTTCAATACCGCTCTGTTCGCTCGCTCCTCAATGCTCTCCTGTTTGTAAGTTTCCGCCTAACCTTGGAGCAATCAACCACCGAGATGATCGATGTCCGTTTGCGCGCAGGCGCATTCAAAAGGTTTGTCAGGCGTAAGCAATTGATTGTCGAGCTTTCCTGAGTGCCATAACAGAGCTATATACACAAGAGACACAAAGTATAAGTGGATTTAGCACCTGCTGTTGCTCGATAATGCTTGTCCAGTTTTCATTAATGTGATGTGTTATATATTAATGTTTAATGCAACCTGAGCACAGTGCACGCAAAGCTGCTTGGTACTGAGCTAAAGTCCAAAGTGAAACCTTACTTCAGTTTGTTCTCATCTCTTTCTTACTCCTAACCTGTTATTTTTATTTTTGTCCTAAAATATATAAGGCTAAAAGGGGACTACTTTGACTTACATTTTTTCCTCCGTGAGACAAAACTTGACAAAAGGCACAGCTAGTTTTGTCAATAATAGTTTAAGGCAATATTTATGGACAGTCTCGCGGATACCTCAATGCTGTACTGTCATGCATGGCTCCGGCATTTAATGCACCCTGTGGCCACTGGACACCAAATAGTGAAGTCACCATTGAGGGTTTTGCACCCCAGAAGGTGACAGAGCCACTGTAAAGTTACACAGGTTACCTCATCTCCACGGAGTGGTCTGGGTGCAGTGGTCCAGTAGCTTTAACCGTGCAATGTAATACACTGCAGTTTTGTAGAAACTGTATGTTTACATTGCATTGTTAAACACACATCTTGTGACTGTTTTCATTAACCCCTTAAGGACTGGACTGTTTTTGCGATGTTGTACATTTGCGACCAGGAATATTTTTACACTTTTGTGGTGTTTGTGTTTGGCTGTAATTTTCCGCTTTCTCATTTACTGTTCCCATACAAATTATATATTGTTTTTTTCAGGACAAAATGGGCTTTCTTTACATACCATTATTTATATAATCTCATGTATTTTAATTTTAAAAAAATACAAAAATCTGATGAAAAATTGAAAAAAATACATGTTTTTTGACTTTTACTTGAAAAATCTTTTACTCATCTACAAAAGCGAATGAAAAAAACTGCTAAATAGATTCAAAATTTTGTCCTGAGTTTAAAAATACCTAGTGTTTACGTGCTTTTTTGCTTTTTTTTGCATGTTATAGGGCTATAGGTACAAGTAGGATATTGCGGTTTCAAAACATACATTTTAAAATTTATCAATAGTGACATTGTAACACTATTATCTGTCATAAATCTCTGAATAACACCCCACATGTACATATTTTTTTTAAAGTAGACAACCCAGGGTATTCAATATGGGGTATGTCCAGTCTTTTTTAGTAGCCACTTAGTCGAAAACACTGGCCAAAGTAAGCATTCATATTTGTTTGTGTGTGAAAAAAGTAAAAAAACTAAATTGAACGCTAATTTTGGCCAGTGTTTGTGACCAAGTGGTTACTAAAAAAGACTGGACATACCCCATTTGCAATACCTTGGGTTGTCTTCTTTTGCAAATGGTATGCCATCATGGGGGTAATTCTCATTCCTGGGCTACCATACGCTCTCAAAGGCAACGTAACCAACCTGGCCATTTTCAATGTAAAAATATTTGACCCATATATTTGACCTTGTAACGTTCAAAAATGCTATAAAACCTGTACATGGGGGGTACTGTTTTACTCGGAGACATCGCTGAACACAAATATTAGTGTTTAAAAACTGGAAAACGTATCACAACAATTATATCATCAGTAAAAGTGCTGTTTGTGTGTGAAAAATGCAAAAAAGTAACTTTCACTGACAATATCATCGCTGTGATATGTTTTACTGTTGTGAATCACTAATATTTGTGTTCAGCGAAGTCTCCCGAGTAAAACAGTACCCCCCATGTACAGGTTTTAGGGTGTCGTAGAACGTTACAGGGTAAAATACAGTGCTAGCAAATTAAATTCTCTGGAATTTCGGCCTGGGTTGGCAGGCAGGTCCCTCAAATTGCAATCAATAAAATTACTGAATTATGTAAAAATATTACATAAATACGCACGTAGAATTTAAATATATATGCATATTTATATATTTGAAGTCTACGTGTATATTTATATAATTATTTATGTAATTTTGTATATGGACGTATGTATATTTCTTATTATTTTTATTTATTTTTATATACATAGATATATATACAAATTCATTCTAAGTGTATTTTGATATAAATATATATATATTAATTTTAAAATACAGTTAGAATAAAATTTCATATAGATATATAATTTTTTTTAAATTTTTATTATTATTTAAAAAAAATATTTAATTTAAATTACTTATTTATATTTTATAATAATATATATATACAATATATATAGTTATTATATATATTATATATACGTGTGTAATTTAATTATAAGTGTATTTTTATATTAATATAAGTACATATTAATATAAAAATACACTTAGTATGGCATTATATATATGATATATAGACATATATTATATAGATATAATATATGTCTATATATCATATTTATACATATATAATTATTATTATTTTTTTTATTACCATTAACTTTAATTTTTTTTTTGATTTTACAGTTGCAGGGAGACTGCCTGTCAGTACAGGCAGTCCCCCTGCAGGCAGACACATGGACACCTATTGTGACCATGTGATGGCTGTGTTGAGCGATCACATGGCCACAGGGGTCCTAATCTGCCGTGGGGAGACTGTCTGGGCTGCAGGCAGTCTCCCCACAACCGGAGCCACGCTGATCGCCGCCGGGGGAACGACGGCGATCAGGTAAGTAGCCCCAGACCGTTTGGACGGTTCAGGACCGTCATCGGTCGGCAAGGCAAAAATGCCGATGACGGTCCTGAACCGTCCTCGGTCCTTAAGGGGTTAAAGTTACTAGAGGCACTTCTTCTAAATATGTTTTTCCCCATCAGTGGGGAACACTGCCTTTACATCATAACCACTACAGAGGGCTGTAGTAGGTATAATTGTTGGAATAATCCTTTAAGGCCAGAGTAACCAGATTGGAAATATAGCTAACCTAAAAATACATTTAAATTTACTCTAGTTAAAAAGCCTTTTAATATTCATTTATAGGTCTTTGATCTCCCAAAAGATATAAACAACTATTTTCTATCTAGATATGTTTTTGCTTTAAAATTAAAACGGATTTCTTAATAGAAGCACAAGCATTTAAAATAAATGCCATATTTTAATATCCACTAGAGGGAGGAAGATTCCAAAAGAAGAAATGGATGGTAATTAAGAGTGTAGTTCCAGAAAACAAATCCAGTTTTATCATAAAAAAGATGGCATTAAGCACTGTGACATATATGTAAGGTGGCAATAGAGGGTTAATTTGTCCTGTTGGTACAGTTAGGGAAAGTTCATGACCCCTGGTTAGGTTGTTGGGCAGAGTGGGACAAGTAGCTAGGCAGATTTGGTGACACAGCTGTTGCTGGGGACAAGAGCTGGCTGGGGATTGGCTGCTGGCCGCGAGCGAGCAAAAGAGCGGGAGGCCAGGTAAGTATAAAAGTGACAGTGCGAGCGCAGTCCCGGTCAGCGGTCTTTCAAGACAGGAGAAGCATAGACGGACACCCAGCACCTCACCTGTTCCAGCCGCAACATATCCTCTGAAGACCTGATGTCCCGTGTGGAGAAAATACTGAGATCGCCTGGAGGGGAATCCTGGTTGAGAGACTGCTTAATTTCGGTGCCGGAGGCTTCCAACACTGACAGGAGGCACGACATGCACAGCGGGAAAGAGGCGTACTCATTTGCGGTACAACCGGGGAAGAGCGCCACCTGCTGAAAAAAAGAGAATGCACTCCAGTGCAAAAATTGCTTCAAGAATTTAAAGAAACGGCTCCTGGAAAGAAGAGAAGGTGTAAAAGAAGCCTGTACCGGTTGTGGGTCAGGGTAGAGTAGAGGGCCAGGCTGAAGACGTCCTGACGAAAAAATGAAGAAAGTCGGATGAAGGGAGTGAGTGTCATCTGGAGGCAGTGACGTACACATGACCCATGGGGCCCCGGTGCGAAAATTGATCCGTGGGCCCCCCTCCCCCCGCGCTTACTCGGCGCGGGTCGGGGCCGCAACACATGGCGGCGGGCACCTGGTCGCAGGGGTTGCAGGGCTGCGACCCCGCGACCGCGGTATGCACACACACTTAAAGGAGCACTACAGACACCCAGATCACATCAGCTCAATGAAGTGGTCTGGGTGCCAGGTCCCTCTAGTTTTAACCCTGCAGCTGAAAACATAGCAGTGAAAACGGCTATGTTTCACTGAGGGTTAATCCAGCCTCTGGTGGCTGTCTCATTGACAGCTGCTAGAGGAGCTTCCGCGATTCTCACTGTGAAAATCACAGTGAGAAGACATTGAACGTCCATAGGAAAGCATTGAGTAATGCTTTCCTATGGGCGGTTTAAATGCGCGCGCGGGCCTCTTGCCATGCATTTGCATTCGGAGCTGAGAGGCGGACACTGGGGAGTCCGACGCTGGAGAAAGGTAAATGCTGAAGAGACACACACACACACTCTCACGAACAGACACATACACACTCACTTACAAAACATACACTTTCACTGACAAACACACACTCACTAACAGACAAACACACTCAGTAACAGACACACACAGTAGCACACTCACTAGCAGACACACACCCAATAACAGACACACACACTAACACACGCACTAACACAAACACTAATACACACACATACACTAACACACACACACATACACTAACACACAATAAGACACACATACTAACACACACACACTAACACACACACATACTAACACACACATACTAAGACACACATACACTAACACACACACACATACTAAGACACACATACACTAACACACACACACACATACTAAGACACACACACACTAACACATTTTTATTTTTTAAATTTAATCCCCCCAGCCTCCTTACCTTTTGGAGTGCTGGGGGGATTCCCTGGGGTCCAGTGGTGCTGCTGGGCTCCTGGGCGGCAGGTCACTGGGTGGGCGAGCTGGGTGGGCGAGCTGTGCTTCCTCTTCAGCTCCCTCGCGCGCCGCTTAGGGATGTCATCTTCCAGCTCCGGTATCAGTGTGGTGCGCGATGGAGCTGAAGAGGAAGCACTGAGTGCTCCCTCGCGCGCCCGCCTGCCTGCCCGCCCGACCGGCCACCCGCCTGCCGGGTGACAGCAAGGCCAGCCTCTGGGGGCCCTGGGGTGGTCGGCTCCTGGGCCCCCCAGGAGAAGAGGCTGGCCCTGTGGCTACATACCGGGTCGCAGGGGCGGCCGGGCGACCCTGGTATGTACGCTACTGTCTGGAGGACGTGCAAGGCAGAGCTGGTACTTCAGGCGGTGAGTAAGAACGCAACTCTGCTGAATTGGTTAAGATTAGTGAGACGTTAGCAGCAGTGACTGGAGTGGTAAAGGTTTTACAGAAAAAAGGAAGTCCAGCTCACGCTTGGGGTAGTGGGAGTAGAAGTTAAAAAATATGATTTATTAACGAATATGGTAAGAAAGAAGCTCTGCCATGTGAAAGGTTCACTGTTAGGTTTTCGCATAACGACTCATATAAAAAATAAAAAAATAATATTTTGAAAGGTGAATATGTTTAATATGTTGATTTACTGTCGCTTTGCCTTCAGCAAAGGATTTTCACAGTGCAGAGAGTGACAAGGATAAGGAAAAGCGTAGATTG